CTTGCCTTCACAGAGGAGGAGCCACTACCTGATCCTCATCCAGGCATATCAAGAAAAGAAAGTGGTTCAGAAATGACAGGTGATGGCTGCAGGCCAGGCTTTCTCTACAACCTGGTGTCACAGTGACACGTCCTCTCTACCTGATAGCCTGGGAGGACTATTGATTTCTCTGAAGCTATTTCTAGTTTCCATTAATGACTACATTTGGCTGATTCTTCAAGTCAACCTGCATCCCAGGAGGCCTCACTTCTACATCTCAGGCTCACTCCTGATATAAGAAGGCATTTTCTTGGGGCCTCAGGAGTCCTGCAATGGGGAATGAGGTACTCAATTTAGTTTATGTTCTTTTATTTCTTGCTCAAAATTAGTGAGAATTGTATTTACTTAATTTCTGATAGTCCCTGTCTTTATCCCACTGATACCATGAGACTAAATTCTTAGAGCTTATAGGAAAACATGAAGTTGCAATGCTTATCTCTTTGAGTAATTGGATTGTTTTAATTTTGAGATAATGCAGGAGCAAGATGATAATACCCAATTCCCTTTTGAAATCAGCATGTACCAAATACCGGACCCATGATCATTGAAGACCCCTTCAGAGTGACAATAGAAAACTTGAAACAGAGGCAGAGACATTCCCCTCACTTTTGCCTTTGAATTATTCTAATAACATAATAACCAGGTCTTTTCTAATTATGTAACTCTTTCCTGTAACTGGCAAAAGGAAATTTACATTAAATACCTCTATTGTACGCAAACACACCTGGATGATTGGAAGGAAACATCATTTTCTTCTACTCATTTAAAAGAATATTTAGGAAACTCTGCTCTTCACAATAATGGTAGTACCTTTGAAAAATCTTCACTGACATAATTTTACACAAACACAATTTATACACAAACACAATTATTTGTTTTTAATGAAAACTTCCTTATTCAGGTTCATGATTAGGASAATTATTAAATAATTACTCTTCCAGGCACTATTCAAGATCATTTACATGTATCTTCTTATTTAATCTTTAAAACTCTAGGTAGTAGGTGCTGCTGCTTCCTCGTTTTCAGTTAAGGAATCTGAGTGTCCAAGGTTGCTCAGCAATCAGCAGCAGAGCCAGACCTGAATCCAGAGTTTGACCCTAAAGCCCGTGTTTTATTGTTGTTTTTGTACTGGGGATTTAACCCAGGAACACTTAATAACTGAGCCACATCCCCAGCCCTTTTTTAAATATTTTATTAGAAATCGGGTCTTGCTAAGTTGCTTAGTAAGGACCTCACTAAGTTGCTGTGGCTGGCTTTGAACTCGCGATCCTCCTCCCTCAGCCTCCTCCAAGCTGCTGGAATTATAGGCATACACCACTGTGCCCAACTCACAGCCCATATTCTTAACCACCTCCTGAAACATTCTAATGCTTTCTATCAGAAGTAAGAATATTTACCAAAGATAACCACCTTTCTTTTGCTGATAGGTCACTTTCCTCCCATCTCTTCCACTTTCCTTCCTGCTTCCTCTCAGCCTAACGCATTCCTTTAGATTGGCCCAGTTTTCTTGTCCAGCCACTGCCAGGAAAAAGGCCTCATTCCAGCTYCCAGTCTACAGACAGTGCAAGCTTAGGCAGGAGGCTGAGCCTCCTGGGAAACCCAAGCAAGTGTCCAGTGGTAAAGGACAACAGCAGAACTGCCCGTAAAAGGTGAGGTTTCTTGTGTTGTCCACAACCAGCAACCATATTTGAGTAAGACAACATTCCGACCCTTCCCAGGGATGCATTTATTTTCATGTCTACATAGAAATACACGAGGAGCTCTCAGACTGTCAGAGAGAACTGTTGAACTGAGCCATGTGAACTCCAAGAAGGTAAACAGCTGTCATTCTAAGCTTTCCTGCTTCAACACAGAAGCAAAGAATAGGAAATTCTGGAAACTTAATGGTAAAATCTGCTTTATTAGATCATATTTCTCTAGGATTACAGGGAGCCAAAAAGTTTTGCCGTAATTTTTCTGGGAAAACCAAAAAACTCCACATAGATGTTTTTTAAAAACTGCTAGGTTTGGTTTAAATAGCACAATTAACTGATTAGCAGCATTATGTGCTAAATGTATCAAGTGCCTATATCAGGGCTTGAGCTGGAAAAGTAGCTGCCCTGTGTCTGCATATATTCTGGCAGAATGTGAATGACAAAACCTCTGACGGCTGCAGTGAGCAGCCTGTGCTCAGTGTCCACAGACCTGCATGTGACTTCACGCAGAGTAACCCTGAGCCAAMTCCTTAACTTCTTCAAACTTCAGCTTCCCTAGCAAAAGACAGGGCACTCATGTTCATCACCTGGGTGGCTGTAAAGATCAATGACATCATGTCTGTGAAAGTGCCTTGCACAGAAACTGGCAGAGTAGGCATTTAATAAGTGATAGTTTTATTTAATTTTATATCATTTTAAGGGAGGGGTAGATGTAAAGCCATGTTATTAAGCAATAAGGAGAAGGAACCATAAATTTGTGGTTGGCAATTTTTCCTTCCCTTAAGAAAACCGTTCACCCAAGCTGTATTTGCAGTTAAAACAGGGATCGCACAATCTTTTATGTTACTTCCACCACCAAAACCTCACCTTTTCATTATCAGATACTTCAAAGTATATCTGTATAATTTATTCCTACTCTATATATTACTGTTATGTATATATTTACAATATGAAAATCAGGAGGAAAAACAAAATCAAAGTCAACAGGGAAATGTAGACGATCAGAGGTAAATGCTATGTTCTATGGCCCAACAGAAAGTTAATCATCATTTACAAAGATGAGAAACAGAGTGCTCCCAATAAGAAAGAAACCAGTAAGTCATAAATTCTACATAATAAAGAACATTGATAAAAGAAATCTTATATGAAAAAACTACATGTTCTCCTATATAATTTTTAAATTATATAAAATTTCATTTTCAGGATTATTTTCAAATTGATTTTTAAGATTAAAAAGTTGGGTCACTTGCTTTGCTTAACATTTCCTTTTGGGTTATGTTAACATGGCTAATCTACTGAAAAAAAAGGAAGCCCACTGGGACTCACTGAGGATATACAGAAGCTGAACATTAACACACGGGAGTCCAACAACAAAATGTGTGCAACAGACCTTCCCCCAAAAGGAAACTAAAATGAGAATCCTAACAGAAACTGTCCTTTGCCTGAAGCTTCTGGACCTGCAGCTGGACCATTGTCTTGCTGCCTGAGAGGCCAGAAGTTACTTTCCACTCAAAGGATGCAGTGGCTGGGAAGGAGTTCAGGCCACAGTGATGGTCAGAAAGTTCAGGTTACAGCAAAACCTCCAACGCCTATACTATAACCAAAGACTATAACCAAAGCTATCTTCTGTGCAGTCAGAGCAGTGGCAAGTTCCTAGAACTGATTTTTTGTTGCTGAGTTCAGCATTAAATGTTCTCTGAAAAAGCTCAGATCGGTCAGATTGAACAAACAAGAAGCAAAAATAAATTTCCCATAGAGTTTTGACTGCAATTAAATAAGCTATCTTGTTTCACAAAAAATCCTGCATATACCTAACTCTTCCCCCTAACCCTCAAAAAGCTATCGTTGGCCAACCTTCAGGAATTCTCAAAGGTTCAATTATGTTAAAAGCAATGATATCAAGCATAGAGTATTTTCTTWAAATTTTTCTATAGACACACAACTTTACTGTCTCTGCCCATTAAAAAATTAAGTGTTCAGTTGGTTTCCATCCTCAGTCTCAAAATATAGAAGAGCAAAAAAAATTACAAGGCTCTCAAAAAGCTTCTAATTAAGGGATAAGCCTCATTTTAAAGAAAAATCCTTACATGTTCTATRGGAAAGATATAATTTCAGGGATTTTTGTATCTTCCAGTTTGTTTATGAAGAAATACAAATGATTAAATCAAATATAGGAATGTATTTGTTTTGAGAATAAAATGTCCTCTTTCATTAGTTCAGAGTTTGTGTTCATCCTTTGCTGTCACTACTTGTACAGATTCCTTTCTACTAAAAGTCAGTCAGGTGGGCCGGGATTGTGGCTCAGGGGTAGAACACTTGCCTAGCACATGCGAGGCCCTGGGTTCAATCCTCAGCACCACATAAAAATAAATAAATAAAATAAATATATCATGTTAACTACAACTAATATATATATATATATATATATATATATATATATATATATTTTTTTTTTTTTTTTTAAATTCAGTCAGGGTATTTGAAAGACCTTGAACCAGTTTTTCCGGGTATCCCCTCTCAAAGAATCCACAGAGAGAAAAGCCAGTCACAGACAGAAGAAAAGCCTGCGGACGTAGCTGCTCACTTCCTGAGCTACCCACTTCCTTCTTCAAACATTTCCTTCTCTTCACTAAACTGTTTTTCTTTTTTCAAATTAGCATTGAAGTCATCTTGCAAATATACTTCTGGGTGGAGGGCCAGGAATAGGCAAATTCCAGTGGCCAGGTCATTTTTAACATCATCACTGCAGTGATACAAAATCAGGTCCTCGGATGCAGTTGCTCTCTGCAATGTAAAGGGAAGATTCAGCAAAAGAATCCGAACCATTATGAGCTAGACCCACACCAGGAGGAAACAATGTTACCAAAGAGAATGCGTGCAAAAAAATGTCATGGCTCCTGTCTACTCCATCTGAAAAACTATCGCATCATTTATGAGGAAATCAATATTTTTTAACTTTCAAACCTTGAGCCAACCGTAATGAGTTACTAGGTTTCTTTGCTTTCATTATAATTTTGGCTATAAAACTGAACATCTCATAATTATTAGAATTATGTTATTAAGTATGCATCTTCTTAATGATAATTTTCTTTGATCACAGCAAATACAGATAGCTAAATAAAAATGTGACTATCATGAGACTCTTGCGTTTATAAATACAAACATAAATTTAACCTCTTCTTACCTGAATATAAAAATCTTTATTTATCAGCAATGGTAATAGCATGAAAAAAACAGACAAAAGGAATAAAGTAACTTAAAATGTTTATTTTTGTCAGAATAGCTGACAGTTTCCTATTAAGTATTTTGGTATATTATTATAATAAGCATCCCCCCTTGAAAAAAAATCTATTCAAAATATCTCAATCCTTGAGGTAAAGAACCCCTGCCCCCCCCAAAAAAAATCCCGATTTTAAAAAAAATCCTTAAATTCCTTTAGCTTGATAAATAGAAATAATCTCTTCTTGTTCTACACTGGTGAACATAAATGTATTTTATACAGCAAGGTATCTGGTTACTTATTGGCAAATGAAGGTGAAAACTATTCATTTCCACGTTCTACTCAATCACAGTGCAACACCGCAACGTTCATATATACTTTTTTTTTTCTTTTTTCTTACAGTTACCAATACTCTTCTGGCAACAATAAGGTTTTGGAATGGCAAAAGGAAAAAGAAGTTTTAGGTCTCAAAGCTCCCAAAGGGAATTAATCTGAGTCTTCATCATCAAGATAGTCCTCAGCGTTGCTTAATGTTCGAAGTGCATCTAAAAGAAATGGGCGGAAAAAGCAAAACAAATTACTAATTGCTCAGATTTTCTTTTTACCTGTCAAAGCTTCTATCACTCAACAAACTGTACTCTTCCCTATGACCCTGGGTTTGTAAGTTTCATGAGATTTTTTTTCTACTGTTTAATCTATTAAGTATCTGCTATTACAGAAGCACACAAATATAGTGGTCCACATGTTCCTTAGATGTGCAGAGTAAAGTACACAGCACTGAGTGGTCTGTTTCTAACAAAGCTACATGCAYGGTGACCAACTTAGAACACACCAACAGCCACTCCACTCTGACAGCAGTGCTCCCAACCTCCTCTCTCCCAGTGACATGTGCACATGTGGCTTCAGGCACGCCACAATCCTTGCCTTTACCCGAAGGCAAGGTCACTGGGTAGAAAGATAACTCACAAGAGGAAGGAAAGAGAACAAAAACAGGRAAGCTTCAGATTCATTTTAGAAAATACTGAAAATAAAGTATACTCAGAAACAAAAGATGGAAATGAAACAAGAACATTTTAAAATAAAAAGAGCTGGATCCCACCAAATGTTATGTCAACTTAAGCAGGACTCAGAAGAAAGACAACTGATTTGTAACTGTCACCTATTCAACCATCTACTCAAATCCTTGTAGCAGTAGATTACCCTATCATTTTGGAGGGAACAAAATGGAATACAAATACAGGCACATTGTTGGAGCTCAATTAATGGAGGACACAGAGGGATACCTGAGGGAGAAAAAAGTTTTCCCAGAGTTCAAAAAATAATGGGAATTTTATTACACTAATAAAAACAGAAAATTGACAAATATCCCACTGCACAGGTCAAGAACTATAGAAGCAATAATGTCATCCAGCTACAGGGAAACAAATGTCCTTTGCCTTTATAGTGGAAATTTCTTTTCTCAAAAGTCTTTTTGCTGACTCTCTATACCAACACAGATTAGTTAAACTTTGGGCTCTAAAGTAATACCAAAAAGGTCTGAAATAATAAGCAGCAATGCAAAAGACTTGCAAAAAGTGAGTCATCTATCATACTAGTTTCATTCTAGAAAATGGTGAAAAAGTGTCAACTGTTAGTTTATACTTTAATGATATGAAAGTGTCAAACATCAGACAACAGAGTAAGACTTGAGATGTAATAAGAAAGGGGTTTAATGTTCCCTGTATTCTTCTCTTTTTCCTCTCTAGGTTTGCATGAGCCAGGTGGCTAATGACACACTGGAGGGGGATAAAAGGAGGTGGACAGGAGGTCAGGTCAAGGCACCTCTTCCCAGGATGCACAAGAACAGATCCAGGGGGCCACGTTCATTAGGCTACATACTGAGAGGTCAAATAAGCAGCTGATCTGAACAGTGACCACGAATGACTCAAGTGTGTCTTAACACCTTTCTTTCAAAACAACCACACATGCTTTCCTTTATTTTTTTTTCAAATTTATTCTTCCGTATGTATTATGAATAACTTCCAAAATGTCTAGCAAAGTCTAGAAAAATTTCAATTACGGTTTATTGATACCCTCATATAGGCTAGAAACTAAATATAAACAGCGATCTATCAAATACTTAATTTGAATAATATTTAGCCATAACCACTCATGAGTACATATATGAAGTGAGGGAATTCAGACCACAGTTCTCTGGAAAGGATTGTGGAAAGCAAGGTGATGAGAAATTGATTGTAAGGAATAAATAAACACACACACAAACAAAACAAAACAAAACAAAACAAAAAAACACACATATAAACATACACAATAGTGAAAGATCTGTATCTTTCTTCAAATTTGTTTCCTGGAGGTATTCTATTTTGGAGGTTCTGATTTAGAACAAGGAGAGATATATATTCAAACTTCAGGACTATCTAAAGAGTTTATCAAGGGCTGGTGATGTGGCTCAAGTGGTAGCGCRCTCGCCTGGCATGCGCAGGGCGCTGGGTTTGATCCTCAGCACCTCATAAAAATAAAATAAAGATGTTGTGTCCATTGAAAACTGAAAAATAAATATTAAAAAGTCTCTATCTCTCTCTCTCTCTCTCTTTAAAAAAAAAAAAAGTTGATTATCAAGAAAAAAATCTTTTTCCCAATCGTGGGCTGGTAAATCTTAGTCATGAAGGCACCAGAGGAGAAAGAAGGATTTAAAACAAATACCTGTTCCCTGCTTCTTTTTCAGGAGAGATGCACAGGCAGCATTAGTAGCCATGTCCAAGGCCAGCTTCTTCTCATTGTTTCGTAAGTCTGTTCTAGCACCTTCCCAAAACAAGAAAAGGAAGTTASGTGTCTTTAAAGACTATACAGTAGTAGTCAATCCTCTTTCCACCAAGGCTAACCACATATGGCAAAACTAACTAGAGAACAGTACTGGACCAAAATTAAACTCCTTAAAGTAGTGTGTGTGGCATCTTTAACCAGGGGCCAGCTGCTACACCTGTGGTGCCTATGCTCCATGGAAACACAGCTTTTCCCTTCCAGTCTCTATGGGAGTACTCATGTACCTTTCTGTGAGTTTACCTTCCCCTCAGTAAATCCTAAATCACCACCAAACCCCAGTGGTTATGTGTGCCTCCGCAGGAGTCTGGGGAGTTTAAATTCAACACACCCCTTCCCTCTTGTTCTGCTCAAGAAGGTCTTTTAAAAAATACCTCTGGGTTAATCTTGAAGGGATTAATATTTTCATATCTGTACATACATGCTCATGTAAATTAGCAGAATGGCAACACACAMGCACACACACACAMAAAAAAAAAAACCAGCGGCAACTCATTGTTCCCCAATTCACTGTTACAGTAAGCCCTTTTCTATCCACTTTGACTTTGTGCTAAAAATTACATCAGAATCCATGAATACATTTGCATTGTATTCCTGGATTCTGTCCAGTCTTTTACCCTCTCCAGAGGTAATCATTCTTACAAGTGAGCCTGAGTTCTTGTTTCCCTTATGTGTATGCATGCATCCACAGACATATGTGAACATGTATACAAAATCATGCTACATATGTTGGTTTGCAATGTCATACTTTTAACAATATACAAATGGTGCTCTTTTCTGGCAGTATGCATATAACTGAAATCTATTTAAGTATTTATAAATATTCATTTTATGGATGATCCAAAATTTATTTAATCTTTGCTTTAATGATAGGTACCTAAGCTGTTCCTAACTCTGATTATCACAGATACTACAATGAACATCCTTAAGCAACACATTTGTTCACACAAATACTTAAAGGACAGTTTCCTAAATGGGGTGCTGAAATATAAAGATAGGCACATTTTTAATTCTGTTAGCTACTGCCAGGTGACCTTCCAAGAAGGTTCTCTCAATTCACCCTTTCTGCCGCCRTATTTTCACCAATTTGCAAAAATCTCATTCTATTGACCAGATCTGCATCTATCCCTCAGGTCACACGGAAATTCTCATTCTGTCAAGTCAAAATTCCTGAGGGCTAACAGTTCTATGACAAATAAATTAAATTATATTATAGAACTCATACTCATGTTTATCAGGACAGGAAATATTCAGAAACAAGGATGCTAGAGAAGAAACACATTTATTTCCTGAGTTCCCTTGGAGCAGCACTAATATAAATACAAGGTGATCCACACAGTTAATTTTAAATTTTATAGTAAACACATTTGCAAAAAGTGAAATTACTTTTAATAATGTTTTACTTAACCTACTAAATATCTAAAAGATCATTGCAACATGTAATCCAATATAAAAATTATTGTGGTATTGTACTTTTTTCACTAAATCCTAAAAAAAAAAGGGGTGTGCATTTTATATTTATAGTACAACTCAATTCAGGCAGCTTCTTTTCAAGGGCTCAGGTGCACACAGGCTAGTGGCTGCTCTTGGCACAACCTTCAGAGGAGCACAATAGTGGACCTAATGCTGTTTGACTATCATGGTTTGGATATGAGCTCCTCAAAAGCTCCTGTGTTGATGCAGGGATATTCAGAGCCGAAATGGTTAGAATGTGAGAGCTGTAACCTAATCAGTCCATCTAGTTTGAATAGGCTGGGTAGGTAACTGTAGGCAGGTGTAGCATGACTAGAGGAGGTGGGTCCCTGGGGGTGTGCCATGGAAAGGTTCATCTTCTCTGCAGTCCCTTCCCCCCTTCTCTGCCTCCTGGTCACCATGAATAGAGCAGCATTCTTCCACCAGACCCTTCTATCTTGATGTTCTTCCTCTCCTTGGACCCAAAGGAATGAAGTTGGCCCACCATAAACTAAACCTCTGAAACTATGAGCCAAAATAAATTTTCCTTTTCTAAGTCGTTCTTGTCAGGTATTTTGGTAACAGCATCAAAAACTGACTCACACTCTGCCCTTTTAGACCTAGAACTTATATCATCAACATACTTAAAATCCAAAGCATTTCCTCCTATATATTCCACAACATTGCCAAGGATCCCCAGTGATGGTTACATATCACTTATGGCCTGGCCCCTCGTCTACATTATAGCCTCTGAATCAAGTTGTGTTGTAGGGTATTATGTCTGGCCCTCCATAAGGGTTCATTAATAATGTACGGGACAAATGGAGGAATGGATGGATCAGTCCATAATTTACATGTTTCCTCTGAGAGTCATGGAGGCACCAGAGGAGAAAGAAGGATTTAAAACAAATACCTGTTCCCTGCTCCTTTTTCAGGAGAGGTGCACAGGCAGCATTAGTAGCCATCTCCAGGGCCAGCTATATATACTATAAGCACATAGACTGTATAAAAACAAGGCATCTCTCATTCTTGTACATCTAACAACTACTCAGCTCAAAGCAGGGTACAGCAGTCCCAACATTCTTTCTTATCTATCAAGACTTTCCTATGAGATCAGCAACTTTGCCTGTGCAGATTTCTCAGACAAGATCTCCCCCATATATATGTGAACACACCTCTTTCTTCTAAGGCCCTATAATCCTTCAGATATGCACAGTAAGTTCTTCCCAAAGATAATATCCATAATTTTAAAGCTCTTAATTTATAAGTAAAGGTTTCAATTTAGAATTAAAGCAACATAAATAACCCCAATAATTTCATCTCATCATACCAGCTCTGTGGTATACACAGAAGAGGGGTTAAAATTACAGTTTAGAAGATTATTATTCTTTCTACTATTTCAAATAGTATAATTTTATGTGACCTATTTTTCTGGGTAAGCAAAGACCAGATATATTCATCACGAACATTACCTTTTGCCAGAAGCAGCTGGACAATGTCTGCATAACCCTTCCAGGCAGCAGCGTGCAAAGCCGTGTCTCCCAACTTGTTCTATGATGACAGAAAGGGAAAGCAGCATTTTAAAATGAGAAGGTGTACTGAATGCAGACATCAAGTTTCTCTAATTAAACCTAAAATGAGAACAAATTATAGAAATTACAAAATTCCAAAGGGAAGAGTGGAGGAAGAAAGGAGACTCCAGCCATGAGCGATGAGTCATTTTAGGGAGTGGGAATGGGATGGAGGAGTAGAAGTGATGTGGCAGAGCACAAGCTGAAACTCAGATGCCCACAGAGGGGGACATAGGAGGGAGCAAGGAATGGACCTTCATAGAAACCTRGCAAGAATTTGGAATTACGGATTCCTGGAGACACTGTGGTAAGAATGAGGCATGGGGTAAAGACAGGTTCTAGTTGAAAGAAGAAGAAGTAACCAGAACCCAAAGACCCCCWTGTTGCCAGACCAAGTAAAGATGGTGGAATAACTTTATTGAGAAATTAACCAGATAACTTCCAAGCTTATGGACATAGGTAGCAAGAAGACCAGAAACCAAAAGCTAAGGGTTGGGTGACAAATTTACAAACTAAACAGTAAGATGCCTCTTTCAGCTACTTTTACCTATCCCACTGCCCCAGTGTGTGCAGTGAAGGGAACACACCCAGGCAGGAGGCTGTAGGATACTCCTCTGGTGAAGCAGTACAACCCCACATGGAGAAAAGGGAGGGGTGCATTTATAGTAGCATCTAGGGGTTGCTCAGCAGCAAAAYAGCCAGGACCTCACCACTTCACCCCCCACAAAGAAGCCCCCTGCCAGCCAGAAATGGGTCCTACCAATCATAGACTGGAACTTCCCAAACTGACAGCCAATATGTACCTTTTATTTCTATAACTTGATTATTGCAGATATCTGTTAAAGTGTCAAAAAGCTTTGGTCATCTGGGGATACTAACTTCCAAAGGGACTATRGGAACCACAGTCTCTCTCTGCCTTCCCGTCTAGAAATATGATCTCTTCCTATCACATACACTCCCACCACTTTGATACCATCCTCCTTAAGATCTTCAACAGAGCCATGCTGATGCCAGCACCATGCCCTTAAACCTCAAAAACTGTTAGCCCCATAAACCTCATTTCTTTATAAAGTAGCCTGCCTTGGATATTTCATTATAATAATAGAAAATTCACTAATACAGGAATCAAAATGGTATCAGACTTCTCAAAAGCAACCCTGGGGAACAAGAATACCATGGAGCCACATCTTCAAAATTATTTGCAACCTAGAATTGTGATCAGTTTTTAATAATCAATCCCAAGCTCCTCTTTCTCAGGAATCTACTTGAAGAAATGATCTCCAACAAAGGAAAACACAGGTCCAGAAAAGTGACAACACAGCAGAAAAGAGAACGTGATTCTAAGAAAGATGGCAAAAAGTAGCAGAGATGAAATTGCTCAGGTTGGAAGATGAAGATGAATTGCTACAAGAAGGGTGAGACCAAGACAGGGAAAAAAAAAAAAAGTTCATGGATTATCTTATACAGACAGTCTATCAAGGGAGTATAAAACAGTGCAGCAGTCCTAGTGACAGAAGGAACAAGCTAAATAAAAGTCAATAACTAAAGAGAAACAAAAAGTTATACAAGCAGTGAACATTACTTAGTGACAATAATGTAAACATTATACAAAGAAGGAAAGGTTGGATGCTGAGATACTGGGAGATGGGAACTGGAGAGCTGACAACCTTCATTAATCAAATAGGAAGCAAATATACACATAAAGAYGATACATGACCAGACAGCTCCACCAGCCTATTCCTCAGTAACACAAAGGTACATACAGGAAGAAAGAGCTAACAGCTGAAAGTGATGCACAAGGAGATGAGGGATAGGTACTTTGGGCTCTGTTCAATYTAAATTTTAATACAGTAATAACAGTGTTTAAAAACTGTGTACTAAGGACCAGGGGTGTGGTTCAGTGGTAAAGGGCTTGCCCAGCATGCTCAAGGCCCTGGCTTCAAATCCCAGCACCATTAAATGAAAAAAAAAAAAGCAAGAATCTATGTGCTTATAGTATTTTGAGTAAAATACTTTATGTGCCCATAAGCTGTACTGTGCCAAACAAGGCAGGTGTGTTAAACGATTTCCTCATACTRAATAGTCTCACCTGTTGGTTCAGTTCAATATTTGGCTGAGTAAATAGCACTTCCACTATATCTGAAATTCAAATAGAAGAGATATTTCTTAAGAATGAAAAGTAAAAGTCTGATAAAACTAAGCATAATAATGTTTAAAGAGAGTATTCTTTAGCAGAATCTTCAATAAAATTCTTATTATAAACGTCTCAAAATTTATGTAAAGAAAAACATAATAATCTAAAGAAATAGAAATATTTTAAGAAAAAGATATTTTTTTCAAACAGGTTTGGCTTTAGTATTTTCATATGATAGCTATTAGTAGGAATAGTTTCACACTTGCCATGATACTTAGCATTCATATAACTAACGTGCCTATTAGCTAAAATAAGAGAGAGAGTCACAGATTTTCCTTTGGTTATGCTCTTTAATTTGTCAGGCTCTTTATTTCCCATAGTGGGGTTTATTTTTTTGTGTATTATAGAAAGAGGTAGAAAATGGTAGATTTTTTTGGCTAGGATGAAATACATCTAGACTCCATCATCATCTAGAACTCGTCATAATCACTGATGGTAACCAAGTAGCCACTGAATCACACACTTAAGCAACRCTGTCTCCCTTCTCAATCTACAATTGTGCATTAAACTTAAAATGCAAAAAGCTAGAGGAGACAGTTCTGCCCTTTTCTTCTGTAAGATTAGAAAGTGGGTTTATTTTTATACTACTGTTGTTTTCTGGTTAGTTTTCTTTGAGAGGAAAAAGAAGTTTCCGATTTTTCAAGTGAGAGGTCTGTGAAGTGGGCTGACTGGCCACGTTCCACCCACTGTTCCACAGGGCTTCCAGGAACAAGGCTTTTGACTGATGTTCTAAAGGATTTTCAAAAGATAGCCAATGCTGTTTTGGGGTTTTGTTTTTGTTTTTGTTTTTGTTTTCCATTTCTGTGAATCTGACTCCCTTAGGTGAAACACATTTTAGCATCACAGAGATTTGTTTTTAATAGCAAACAAAACATATTACCTTTATGGCCACCATGACAAGCCCAGTATAAGGCGGTGCTTCCAGCCTTGTCTAAGCCATTAACACCCACTCGGTTGTCCAAACACTCTCTCAACCAGCTCAAGTTGCCTGAAAGAATTTTACATTTATAAAAACACAAGAAAAGGGCTAATCAGCAAGTCTCCAATTAAGACCTATCCACTAATACATTTAGTATGGCACAGTTGGACTTCCAGTTTGTTAATGGAAAGCATTATCATCAATTTTTAACGGTAGGTTGATGGAAAGAGTTGCCTAAATAGCTCTACTTAGGTATTTCTACTCTTAAAAAAATCATGGGTGTGTGTGTGTGTGTGTGTGTGTGTGTGTGTGTGTGTATTTCTTTCCTTTGCAAAATTCTGGAACTTGGAAGAAAAAAGTTAAACCTCAATACAAACAAAAACTATTCATATTCACATTAAAAATGCATTTCAGGACAGGCATTGTGGCACATGCCTATAATACCCACTGCTCTGGAAGCTGAGACAGGAGGACCTCAAGTTCAAAGCCAGCCTGAGCAATTGAGCAAGGCCCTAAACAACTTAGCAAGCACCCTGTCTCAAAATAAAAAATAAAAAGGAACGGGGACGTGACTCAGTGGTTAAGCACCCCTGGGTTCAATCCCCTGGTACCCTCCCTCCCCCAACAACAACAAAAAAATACATCTTAGTTCTTACTAGAGAAGAAACACTAAATAACCTACTCAAAGTTACTGCTCTTATTTGCTAAAGTATAACTATTAATTTAAAATCTTCAGGCTAATGCCCTAAGTATCTAATTTACCAAGATTTTTTAAAATGTCAGTTTAGTAATTCTAAACCAATAATTTCCTTTTGCACATTCATATTTCAAAAAGATATAAAACAAAACAAAATGGAGCTTACTGAGGCTTTACCAAAATACCCTATGATTTATAGAAGGGTTTTTCAACATCAGTGCTATTGCCATTTGGGACTGGAGAATTCTTTGTAATGCCTTTGATTTAGCAACATTCTCAACCTCTATGCTAAAAAAAAAAAAAAAAAAAAAAAGCCAGTAGCATCCCTCCAGTCATGACAGTACAATGTCTCCAGATATTGCCAAATGTCCCCAGGGTTTGCAGGGAAGAACTCTGCAAGCTAAGAATCACTGATAGGAGAAAGCCCAGGACAAGGCTCATCACTGTTTGGCCATGGCTCTTCCCCAGACTAATCCCTGTGGCTCACTTCCTTCCTTTCCAAACCTTTTTACATCAATATTCTCCCCCAGAACACCTCCACATGCCTGCCCTCCACGTGTGCACTCTGGCCACGACACTGTGTTTAAACACATTTCTATTGCTGTACTTATCACACTGTATTTTAACAAGCAGCCATACATCTCTCTCCTCTGCTTGACTCTGAGCCTTACAGGCCATAGACCTATCATTCCATATGCCTATTACCACCCAGGGCACAGGAAGGTAAAACACTCAACAGTGTTTGTTGGCTGACACTTTTTTATCTTAATTTATTACATATGACAGCAGAATGTATTACAATTCATATTACACATATAGAGCACAATTTTTCATATCTCTGRTTGTACTCAGAGTCACACCATTTGTGTCTTCATACATGTACTTAGGGTAATGATGTCCATCTCATTCCATTGTCTTTCCTACCCCCACACTCCGCTCCCAACCCTTCCCTCCCTTTTGCCCTATCTAGAGTTTGTCTAATCCTCCCATGCCCCCCTCCAACCCCATTATGAATCAGCATCCTTAAATCAGAGAAAACATTCAGCATTTGGTTTTTTGGGATTGGCTAACTTCACTTGGCATGATATTCTCCAACTCCATCAATTTACCTGAAAATGCCATGATTTTATTCTCTTTTATTGCTGAGTAATATTCCTTGTGTATATAWACCATATTTTATTTATCCATTCATTTACTGAAGGGCATCTAGGTTGGTTCCACAGTTTAGCTATTGTGCTGCTATAAACACTGATGTGGCTGTGTCTCTGTAGTATGCTGTTTTTAAGTCCTTTGGATATAGACTGAGGAGTGGGATAGCTGGGTCAAATGGTGGTTCCATTACCAGTTTTCCAAGGATTCTCAATATGCTTTCCATATTGGCTGCACCAATTTGCAGTTCCACCAGCAATGTGTGAGTGTGCCTTTTCCCCCACATCCTCACCAACACTCATTGTTGTTTGTATTCTTGATAGCTGCCATTCTGACTGGAGTAAGATGATATCATAGAGTAGTTTTGATTTGCATTTCTCTAATTGCTAGAGATGTTGAACATTTTTTCATATATTTGTTGACTGACTGTATATCATCTTCCAAGAAGTGTCTGTTCAGTCCCTTGGCCCATTTATTGATAGGGTTATTTGTTTTTTTGGTATTAAGACTTTTGAGTTCTTTATATATCCTAGAGATTCGTGCTCTATCTGATGTGMTTTTGGTAAAAATTTGCTTGTTGGCTGACATATTTTAATTATACTCATACTTACCCTTCTAGGGTGATAAAAGTCAGCCTCTGAGGGAGGCAAGGATTTAACTGGAAAGGTGTGTGAGAGAATACTCTGTAACGGTAGAAATGTTCTAGATTTTCATCTGGGTGTGGGCTCCATAGATGTATTTGGAAAAACTCATCAATCTGTGTAATTAAAATCCATGTATTTTACTRTACTGCACCCCTCAATCAAAAACAATCACACCTACCTCTTTTTGCAGCTTCATGCAGTGGATTGTCAATGGACTCTGCCTGCTCAGCCACTAGATTGAAAATAAAAAGTGCAAGCCCAATGTTGAGAGTGCCCAAGTGATTTGCTGAAGCTGCTTATGTCCCACAGTCCCCCAGCTTTATGAATGACAGAGCCTCAGACAATACAGCTTCCCTTACTTTTATGTGGATAAAAAAACCCCCAAATATCAAATTGATAGTGCCTGCTTTAAAAAAAAAGCTGAATTATGTGTTAAATAAAACCAAGCCAAGCAATAAGGCAATAACACAGCAATTAACTGGAAATATAAATTAAAACCAAACAGATTCCTGACTCAAATACCAGTATACTCAAGTATTTCATAAACTTAGTCACAAAAATGCAAAAGAAAACATCTGATGTTCACTTTTTTCTTTCTGTAAAATACCCTACTTTGAAGATACCTGAAAGCAATTCTAATTCCCTGTGTGTGCAAGTAGGAGGGGGTGGGGAAAATATTTCATAATCAACAGACCTACCTACCTCTAGGAAGGTGTGTTCACTGGGTCCTAGAATGAGCTGCAATGCCTACAAGAAGGTTATGACTTAAGGGCAACTTTAGGACCACTTCTCCTGCCATGGGACTGTAGCAGGACACTGCTTTGGCTATGGGGAACCCAAATGGCAAAAGGACATTTTCTACCCTCAGTGTCTATGATCAAGGCTGGAAATGGAGTATACAGGAAAGGTACATCTGGTATTTCAAAGGCTTCGAGGAGAAGAAACATTTGAAGTGTTTTTTTTTTGTTTGTTTTTTTTTTTGGTTTTTTTTTTTTGGTGGTTCTGGGGATTGAACCCAGGGCTTTGTGCATGTAAGACAAGCATTCCACCAACTGAGCTATATCCCCAGCCCTGAAGTTTTTTGGTTTTTTTTTTTTTTAGGACAAAGAAGAGTACCACCCTTAGACCAGGGCATACAGGGCCCCTATGCAGGACCACAAGCCTTAGCCTTCATCCCCATGGCCTCAGAGTTTTGAAGGACCTCCCTGGACATTTTCTAAGTCATTCTCCAGTGTTTGGAACTGGTGCCCAATGCCAGCCAGCTCTAAGGATTCACATTATGCTACAGTCCAAAGGGATCTCAGAAATGATCTGAATCCAACCCTTTCATCATATAGATAGAGAAACTTAATCCCAAAGGTAGCAATTAGATGTCTGAACTAAAGTACCCTGTTATTGAGAAGTGGAAGACAAAGGATTAAAACCTGGGATCCTCATTTCCAATCCTGTGCTCTTTTGACTTTGCTGATTTCCACTGAAGTGTTTTTGTCTGTTTTGTCCTTCTTCCAACTAGAGGCAGCTTCATGACAGGAGCCACACCCAGTGCTTGGGTTCCCCAAACTGCCATGATGAGCATTTAATGAATGAACATCGCTGCCCCAAACAGGGTGTTCTTCATAACAAACAAAAGAGCTAGTCCAAGAAACAATCTGTGAGATTTAATTTAAGAGCATGAAAAGAATTGCATTAAGAGCTGAATAAAATAAAACCATAAGAGTTTCCTTGGAAACTTTGTTGTTKTTTTTTTTTTTCAAGAATGCTAAAATATGTTCTCTTAAGCCAAGGTACATCTGGTGTTCATGGCCACTTTACTAATAGGAGGCTTATAGAGTGGAAATTGTCCTGCTCTAGCAAACGACTCCACTGAATTCTCAGCCATAGTCTATGACCATACCACCCCGAACACACCTGATCTTCTCTGAATTCTCAGCCACTTCTCTGAATTCTGCAAGCCCAAAGTTCCCTAGAACCAGATAATTAAGAAGAAATATAGCATAGCTAAAGTAAAGCCACTTGGGCAACACTTACCATAGTTGCTTGGAATTAGCCCAGTCCTGCCTTTGCAGGTTCCTTTCCACCAGTTGGTATCACTCTGGTGAAAGAAGAATTAAATTAAGTGGCACCAAATCCAGGCTGCATTTAGTCACTTTTTTGGGGGGGAGGGAACAGGGTTCCAAAGATTAAACCCAGGGGCACTTAACCATTGAGCCACATCCCCAGCCCTTTTTTATTTTGAGACAGGTTCTCATTAAGTTGCTGAGTCTGGCTTTGCACTTGGGATCCTCCCTGCTTCAGCTGGGATTATAAGCATGTGCCACTGTGCCTGGCTGCATTTAGTCATTTTTAAACCCATTTGGTACACAGGGTGCACCCGTACTATGAAATGTACATCAGCCCTGACCACACTAATCAAGCTTCCTCACACCCTAGCTATGGGATTCCATTTCCCTTATCACTATATTACAAGTACACAGCATCCACCTGTAACCTCAATTACACCTCAACATAGAGTGTCAAAAATCAAGCAAATCAGAGATAATAGGAAAGACAAGGGGGAAATTTTATTAAACTAGCTACAGTATTTTTTTGTCCAATTTTAATTTGTCTTATCTTTGAGATACTTATATTTTTTTAAAGATCTCTTTATTTTACTTTCATTTTTGGAGTAAATGTGTGTTGGCAGTGCTGGAAATTAAACTCAAAACCTCCTGTGTTCTAGGCAAGGGCACTACTACTGAAATACATACAGAAAAGATGCAAACCAATGCAAAAGTATAAAGAACAATATAATAAACCATTTCCCAACTGCATGAATCATTTCTTCTTGGTCAATACTGCTTCATATATGCCCCACATCCCCAATCTCCTCTCTGGGGTCATTTTGAAATAATTTCCAGGCATCAAATTATTTAATATGTAAATATTTCAATATTTATAATATTTCAATATTTCAAGTCAATAAGGATTTGTTTGAAAGACAAATACCATTATCACAGCTTAAAACTATTTTCAAAAATAGTTCCTTAGTWTATCAAATATCCCAGTTGCACCATAATTTGGGATCCCAAAATAAAAACCATACAATGTAAGTGATTTGCCTTCTACAAATCTAGAGGTACCCACTTACATTCCTTTTTTACCTTTTGCAATATATTTATTGAAGAAGTCAATTTGTTGTGTAGAATTTCAAACAGTCTGTACTTTGCCTGTTGTACACCTTTGTACCATTAAACACACTCCTCTGTTCCCTGTATTGCTGTAAACAGTAATTAGTTCTACAGCCTTAATTAGATTGAGCTTGAATTTTTCTGGCAAGGTTATTTCATAGGTAGTAGTGATTTCTTGTATCAGGAAACTTATAATGTATGGTCATCTCTGTTCCTGTAATGTTGGTTGCTATCGATGATCATAGTCGAGATCCATTATTTCATACAGATTGCAAAATGGGGACATTCTATCTTTTTTTTTTGTTTTTTCATTTCAATAACTAGCATATCTCTTTAAAAAGAAACCTTCCCTCATCAACTCTCAGGATACCAGAGATAATATTCATAGAGAAAGAGTAAAATCAATGCTGATTCTTTCTCCTTTTTACTTCAGTTGTCAAAATAAAAAGCTGGTTCCCTAGCAATGTCACACTAACCAATGTTTGTTTGTTCTGATTAACATTAGGAACTCATAAATTCAAGCATAGTCAATGTGTTTTGATCCTGGGGAATTGTTGCCTGAAGTGATACTCAAGCTTTCTTGTCTTGGGACAGTGGAAGCTTCTATAAGTTAGTTCCTGAGTTCTTATAACGTGGCCCTAGTAGTCTTGGGGAGCTTCTTGTTTTCTAATATCAAGGAATTCTGTTTTTACCTAAAACCTTTGCTGCCCCTGACCTGATATTAGCCATTTCTTAAAGGAGCCTATTCCTTTTAATGGAAAACAACCTATTATTGGCTTGTGCATTTTTTCTCTGCCCTTTCAAAGAACAGAGCGAGTGCTATTTTGTTTGAGTTAGAGAAAATACAACATATTTCCAATTCAAATGAAGGACTGCTGTTTCTACCTAACTTCACTGATCTTACCTCTGTGTATCCTCCTGCTGTGCTGCAAATCCTGGCAATGAGCATCACTGACCTGATGACTCACTGGCTCTCAACCACAAACACTCAACAATCTCAGAATTAGCAATGCCAACTCACTACCCAACTCAATCATGGGTAAAAACAGTTTACTTTTTTAGCTTCCCTTTCTCAGTTCTTTCGGTCCTTTGTATATATTCTACCAGGAATGTTCAGTCAAACTGTTAAAGTTGCTTGGAATACATCCTCTCTGCGAGGTTATGGCAATTACTAGGGTATAATTAAGGTCATTGGATTCACTCTGTTTTTAGTTTTTAGGAATTGCTTTTTACTGCTTGATTTTATAACTCTATATAGAGCTTACACAATTCCAAAATCAAACCTTCAAAACAAAGTACAGTTTTCTTAAAGTCTCTTTTCTATGTTCCTTCTACCCTATTTTCTTTCCTCCATATAGACAAAACTAATTTTTAAATTTTATGACTCAACCTTTCACTTTTTATTTTAAACTGAGAAAAACAGATATATATATATTCTCTACGATAAATGAGGGCATACCATATGCATTTTATTACATTTTTGTTTTTCACTTCACTTACTCCATAAGAGCAGATACAGATATTTTTCATTCCTTCATATGGCTGCATAATATTCCATTTGTGGATATACCAAAGTCTATTCAACTATTGTCCTAATGATGAACAAAAGGGCTACTTTCAATCTTATGCTTCTATAAATTGTGCCAAAATCAACAGACTTATGCATACATATTTTGCTTACATATACAATTAAATAATTTACAATGTTATGGCAACAGTATTATGTTTTATATCTTTAGTACACGAATAGAATTATAAAATGTTAGCTGGGCTTACCATGTCAGTGATGTAGATAATGTCGCCTTCCTCAAAGTACAATTCATCTGGCTAAAAGAAAAATGAAAAGTTTGATTCCATATGTTTTATTATAAATTAGGATATAATGATTTATTTAATCATCCTGATTTCTAAAGTATCCTAATATACACCGTGGGTTTTTTTAATACTTAAATCAATACAGAAACCATATTACATAAATTTATAGATAAACTAATACATGAATAAAAAGCTGAATTTTTTCCTGATAAATTTCAAGGATTTTATATATCTAATAAACAGGCATTCTTCACACACACGCACAGAGCTTACATTTTCCCACGACACATCAAAATGGAATATTAACAAAATGTCTTTCTTATAGAATCCCAAAAGGTGATATATTCTTTTTCTTAAARGGTTGAATGACTAGAATTAACACCATGAAAAGTACCAACATCTACTATTTGTGTATTTTGAGAAAAATCATCATCCTAACTATCAGGTTCAGACAGAATGAACTTTCTATGTGAGAGAATATTTAATACATAACTTACCATCAATAAGGCTAAAGAGCCAAAAGTTAAGAAGCAGTTAGAGAGTCTAGAGGCATAAGCAGCTTTTAAGGGTTACCTAATTACATAGTCCATAAGTGCTCTGGCCTGTACCAGTGAAACATCCTACAATCTCTCTGAATAGAGCTAGCACTTTAATTAAACATCTTTTTCCCATCATAGATAACATCATGACTTTCTGAGTAAATAGGACAATGCCTACTGAGAGTGAATTTCAGATACTGGGAGATGTTTACATTGTCAGGCTGAGTGAAAAATATAGGGCACAACATTTCACATAGGATAAGRTCACAATTACGCATGAAATACACATAGAAAAATTTCCATATTCCCTATCATGGGCATGTATTACTTTGACAATATTGATGTGGAAAACATCTTTAAAAAAAGACTTTATTATTTCTGATTATAGTTAGGATTCCATGCAAACAAATACTATAACAGTGAAACAAATTATTCCATCCATTCATTTTTCCATTTGTTTACCTCCTCTCAGTACCAGACTGGGACAAGTACATATGATTCTGCATCCATAATTTGTTTCATTTAAAAGCTGATCYATATTATTATTATTGTAACTATTTGTCCCTAAATATAAATGAAGGCTATATCAATCACATCATGCTTTAACCAACCACAATACATGACTATATAGATGCAAGCTGCATTCAATTATAAAAAGTAAAGGATGATTAGTGATACCCTCCCAAAATGGCCAGATTCTTTTAAAAGGTAACTTTCTAATTCATTTGCAATATCGACACTTTGATTCACAGAGACTAGACTTACATGTAGTATAAGCTATGCAAAATTAGCTAAACCTACAATGTTGAGAGCCATTTGTGAACTGTGTTTGGACCAAACCCACATCACAGCCAGTGAACAGAAAAATCTGGTATCTGGGACTTCCAGAGGCAATCCTTCTGGTTGAGACTGTCCAGATACATGTGAGTTCCTATTCAGTTCTGCCAAAAGCTCCCACACACCACCAGAAATGGGGTGACCTGCTGCAGCCACATAGCCACAAAGCCTCCAGGAAATGGGTGTGGCTTCCCAAGATGCCAATCAACATGTTGACAGCAAGACACCATGAAGCAAGACTCCATCCACTGAAACCTTATCCCTGCCTTTGATGCTCTCCCTTAAATAAAGAATAGGAGCCATTTTTTAACTGTTCTGTTCCAGCTCCTACTAGGACTGGAAGAATGTACCACGCACTCTGCTTTAAAAACTACTTCTGACTTTGCCCCTTATTTCTTCACTCATTACTTCACACTTTTCCTCAGGTGTCTCATCCCCTCCTGAAGAAGAATCACCTTGTCAAGGTGCTGGCCACCTCACCATATCAAGATGTATTTTTATTTGAAATAAATGCTTAGGAGAGAAGAGATTAAAGACCTTTAAGATTTTCTCTAATCTATGCCTAAAGTAATTTAATGATTTGCTGCAAGCTGGCTCACTCTCAAGAGGCCAGAAGGAGAACATGCTCATGCCACAGCACTCCAGCGGGGTGCAGTGGCCACCCCAGAACAGTAAGGCTGGCCCCACACTGACAATTTTAACATGACTTGACTATCTCTCCTTTGCAAGGCACTAAGTAATAATAGGATGGAAGAATGAAAAAAGTAGAATGGTATAAGAAAAACTAGGATTAACATGAACCGTWGCTTTTTTCTAGGGTCATTCAGCACTCCTTGAGGTTCTATAAGAGTTCAATACCTTGAAGAGATTTTGCCCATCTTACAACTGTTTTGGGTCATTCTCATTCTGTACCTGCCCACTAATGTCTTACAATGAATCTTCCTCTTTAATGCTTTCAGAGAAAATAGGAGTTATCTTTCCCGACCATTGTAGCCTTTTTTTTTTTTTTTTTTTTTACTGAAAAGGTCAAGCCTACCTAAACTTCCAATTTTATTTTATTTTTGGAACCAGGGATTGAACCCAGGAGCACTTAACCACTGAACCACATCTCCAGCCGATTTTATTTTTTTTATTTTGGGACAGGGTCTTGCTAAGTTGCTGAGACTGGCTTTGAACTTGCAGTCCTCCTACCTCAGCCTYACAAGCCACTGGGATTATACGTATGTGCCATGGCACCTGGCTAAATTTCCATTTTTAATGTGATCATTCATCCTTGAAACAAAAAGACATTACACATATGTGCATAACACATGTACATACAAAATCCCTATAATTAGTCTTTCTATAAAATACACAGGGAGAATAGGAAGTAATTACCTCGTGTGGACAGGGTTTTGTTTTGGGTGATTAAAATGTACTAGAAACTAGACCAGGCGGTGGTTGAAGAACATTGTGACTGAATTAAACACAACTGAATTGTTCATTTAAAGTGGTTGATTTTATGTTACATGAATTTTACCTCAATTTAAAAAAAATAAAGTAAAAAACTCGATTCAGACTTTGTGTGTCATCTTAAGTAATTCTTGTCCTTCATGGTTTGGTAAAGTGCATCATTTGGAAAATTCTGCTAAGTCCAGTCATTTCGATACTTCTCAGTGCTGATTCAGTTTTTAAATTAGTGGCTGCTGTTCAATAGTGGCATCTGCCACAAGCCACCCATTAGGTCAGAATGGTTTTTCAACTGAGGCTACAGGCGGTCGATTTCTGTCAGGGAGAAAAAGGTCTAGCTATTTTTTTCATTCTGAGAAATGACAATGGACAGTTTATTTTCTTTTAATCAATAGCTCCAAACTCAATATCAGTGCCTGCAAATATCTTCTTACAAAGAAACTAGGGGTGGTTTTTTCCTAAAGTGGCTAAGGAGGTGGTCTACCAAAGTCTTCAGACTGTTGGGGGCAGTAGAGACAACAAAGTAATTTTGTGATTTTAAAAATCAGATTTTACCTGCAATCTTTACATTTTCCATTAAGAAAATATGAGCAGAACAACTGATGTAAACTGTTCGATGAGGACCTACTATTAAATTCCTGGCTACGTATTCATGGAACAGAAATGGGAAAAGAGTGACACAATGAAGTAAGGGCATCTCTATTTCCAGCATGTTCTTTGGTTTTTAACCACATTCCTCTTTCCTCTCTCCTTGAAAAACCACAAGGTATCAGAGCAAGGCAGCTGCTGGACAAAGTGGGTAATGTATTCACATTCCTGTTCTATGTATTCTTAGAAACATGTGATTCCCAAAGCATTAATTTTGTTGGTTTATGCAAATATATGCTGTATGGAAAGTTTAGAAGACTTGTGAGATACTTTTGAAATGGTTCAGGTCTGACAACCCAAAGCCTCCAAAATTAATAAAAAGAAAAAAAACAAGTTTTTTATAAATGATTTTATTTAATATATTGTAGCATTTATTATGCATCAGGCACAGGTCTGGGCATTTACATTTACTAATTATTAACAATTATTAACTAATTTAATTTTTATCAATAATACAATAATACAATAATATAATGTTGTTATAGATGAGAAGCTTTCCCAAGGTCATAAAGCAGGTACATGGGAAACCCTGACCTTGAGCTACTGCATCAGGCTGTGTGGGGTCCCAGTTCTTTACAATCCATGCTATTTCTCAGAAGCATCATGCAGCCATTACTGGACACTATGGTGTCATGACCAGGTTAAAACTGGTGGCCTTGGAATATAAACTGTCATTACTCACTTCCCACCCCCTGATAATGTAGTGCAACAAAACCAACAGTAGCACCTTTTACTTGCAAAGCATACTTGACCTCATTTGCTCCTCAAAACAACCCCAGGCATGGCTGGGTCAAGGGTATAATCTATTTCACAACCAGTCCCAGAGAAGTTAAAAGAATTTGCTACAAATAAGAATGAGGAGCATGGCAGGCTCTATCTTATGTTTAGAGTTGGATTCTAGAGCTGCTTTGGAGGTAGATGAGCTATAAACCTGCTCAGCAAACCTTTACTACAGAGCAAGATTTCGGCTCCCCTTCAGAAATCAATGCTCCTCCAGCACACAATGCTGTTCTGCCCCAATCTTCATACTGGTCTATCCAGTCCCGGCAGTTCTCTGTGTGACACTTTACTGGACCAGGCGCTTAGAGAGAAGAACCAAATGGGGCTGGGTGACACCAGGACTACTCCGCCTTTATGCAAGATACATGAGAAATGGGCTGGAAGCAAAAACCAGGAGCCACAGTGGCCTCAGGTTCTACCTGCTCCTTGGGCATTGCTGTCACTATCTCCTGAGGGTGGAACAGTCAATAAAAACAGGACCCAGGCCTCCCCAGCATATTGCATACGTTGATAGACATCCCTAGGTATCCAGATCAGCTCTTTAGTTGTGTGGTCACAATGACTTTAAAGAGGCCAGGTCGATTTAGGATGTGCCATGGTATATCTGTCCCTGTAGAAAAGATACCTGCTACACAGGGCATAAAAACCAAGAGAAATTCTCATTCAGGAACAAATGCAAATAAACCCAGTTCTCAGATTAAATTCAAAATTTAACAACAGGCACAGCATGAATGCTTAACCAGTCAGGAAGGCCTGTGGGAGCCAGGGGCTGCCTATTCCACCAGATGTGACCCCTTCAATATATGGATGGAGGGGAGGGGAGGGAAAGAGGAGAGGATTGTGAGGGCAACAGGGCTTGAGTGGTCATTAGTGACCACAGCCTAGGTCCTCAGGACCAGACATAATTAAAATTTTATATTTAGAGCAACACCTTAAATATAGAATTTTTAAAAAACAACCTTAATGCATTAGTGTGTATTTTCTTCTGTGCATTGTTTTGTTTTGTAAGCACAGGAGAAACTCCATTCTGGGGCAGAATTGTAGGTAAATTATTCAATGTATCACTGAATCAAAAATATTTGTTAAATATCTGTTAATATAACCACTACTACTCCTTTAAATAGTACCAATTACTCCTTAACTAGTAACAGCAGCATCATATGTAATCTCTCTTAATTCTTACTGAACCCTATGTGATTATTATTATTCTCACTTTATAGGTGCAAGTATAGGGATAGAGAGGCTAGGTAATTTGCTAAGCTCACACAGCTGCTAAGTAGGCAGAGCAAATCCTAAAGCCTTGGGTTCTTCTGCTTCCATGAACACTGTGGCAGCAAGTAGGACTGAAAGTACAGACAGAGTTCAGAGGTAGAAGACACATCCCACTGCTAGCTGCAGCTGTCAAAGAAGAGTTATGGAAGAGGAAGTAGCTCACATGAGCCTAAAAGAGGCAAGACCATGGATCCAGAAAGGGTCAAGACTCAGATTCTTTCTTTTTTCTTTTTTTGGTACTGGGCATTGAATCCAGGGGCACTTAACCACTGAGCCACACCCCCAGCCCTTTTTCATATTTTATTTAAAAAGACAGGGTCTCGCTGAGTTGCTTAGGACCTTGCTAAATTGCTGATCCTCCTGGCTTAGTCTCAGGAGCCACTGGGATTACAGGCATGTGCCACCACATTTGGCAAGACATGGATTCTACTGTGAGTCAAATCCTGCCTGTATGGTCCACTAGAGGAAGGAACAGAGCCCAGCTGGGCTGGAAAGGGGCTGGACTACAGAAGACCATATCTTTAGTCAAATAAAGATGTAAAGCCAGTGGTGGGATCAAAACCACATTTTAGGAACATCAATCCGGCGAGAATGAAGCTGGAATGGAGAAACTGGAGTCCATATGATAAAAGTGAGTCCACGCACCAGGTCAAGAAGAACCAAAGAGGGCGGAGAAGTCAGGGAGACAGACAAAGATGATGTCAACTAAGGACACAGGAAGGAGAACACGTCCCACTCCAGAGCCAAGGGCCACTGCAGAGTATGGTTCACTCATGGTGGGGTCCAGGAAGGTAGCTGATGACCACCCACCCTTCCCCATGCTTATCCTCCTCTGGGCACATGCAACCTGGGAACCAACTGATAAGGACAGTCAGAGGCAGGGAATGTCAGCCTGTGAGCAGGGGTTAAAGACGGCCACCTTCTGGGCCTCGTACTTCCAGACCTGTTATGGCTTTCTGTGTCCCCACCCAAAAAACTCTTATGTTGAAATCCTATCCCCTACTATCTCCGATATGACTATATTCAGAGATAAGGTCATTAAAGAGATAATTAAGTTAACAGGTAGTCTTTAGGGTCAGTCCCCATCCAATATGACTGGAGTTCTTATAAAAAGAGGAGACAGGGACACAGACACACACAGGGAAGGGATCATGTGAAGACGGAAGGAGAAAATGGCCATCTACAAAGCCAAAGAGACAGGCCTCAGAAGAAATCAACCAAGCTGTTACCTTGATTTTAGATTTCTGGACTTGCTCTTGGAATTCTGAGAAAATAAATTTCTGTTGTTTAAGCTATTCAGTCGAGATGCTCTGTGATGGCAGGCTTAGCAAACTAAAACACTCCCTGTTCCCTCCCTCACCAACACGGAAACCCCTTGGTGAGAATAAAATGCCCACCCACCTTCCTTATTTCAGAAACATTTTGTTTAGGAAGTCTTTTGAATATGCATGCACCCCATATCAGCCACACTGACTGCTATGACTCACTGGTGCCCACCAGGTGCTGGGCTTTGAATATTACCTCATACCATGATCCCAAGAGCAGTCCACTGCAGAATGGCAAGAAGAATTCCCATTTTCAAATGAGGAAATGATGGCAGAGAGGTTAAGCCAATTCACACAGTGAGTAAACAACAGATTTTGGATTTGCAGGCAGGCTCTAGACCTACAGCAGTTAATCAGTGCCCAGAGCCACTTATTCTGTGCAACTTTCTGAGGAGCCTGGTTCCAGGGAGAGCCAGGTCTAGGGCAAACCCAGATGAAGATGGCAGCAAGCTGGCTTGCACACAGAGGGAAGTCAAWAGCATGTAAGAAAGAAGAATCATCAAGAGCAGGTTTCCTTTCTTGGTTTCTTTCTCCTTTGCCTCCTAACTATCTGAACCCTCTGCTTCACTATGAATCACTGCTGTATCAGAAGCTTCCAACCTCTTAGATGTCTTTCCACTCCTCTGCTAGAGGGATTCCGAAAACTTCACTATCTCACCACTGCCAGACTCAGACCCTTTCAACTGCTTCCCATCTCACCCACAGCAAAGTCCAACTGAGACCTACAAGGCCCTCTACCCTAGTCCTCATCTTGTCCCCCTGCACACATACCTACTTCCCTCTCTCATAGGCATGATTTTCCAGGCCACACTGTCTTCTCTGCTGTTCTAGAATCCATCAAAGATGCTACTGGAACTTGTTGTTCTGTCTGCTCCCTCCATTCCTTCAGGTCTCTGTTCACAGGTCACCTTTATAGAATTGTCATCCCTGGATACCCTCTTTTCACTTCTCTGCCCCTTCCCTCCTTTCTCCATGACACAGAGCCCTGACAATCACATTCACTTGTGGGCCTATTGCCTGACTCTCCCACCAGGATGCAAGTTGTTTTGAGTCCTTTCTGTTGTGGTCACACTATCCTCAAGGCCTGGATCAGCGTCTGGTACATTGCAGGGGCTCACTGAACCATGTATGTGTGAACTTAGGAATGGATAACAGAAACTCTAACAATGGAAAATATATCCAGCAGAGAAAAAACTGCTCTGGGAGCACAGGAGTTCAGACTTTGAGGACCTGCAAATCAACCCAGGGACTTTAGTTTGCACACTGTGGAACAGCAATAGGAAGTGACCATTCATCCATTCCTATGAGTCACTTATGTCTATCAAAAAAAAAAAAAAAAAAAGGCAGACCAGATGAACCAGAGGAAATGCCTAAATGAAATCACCTTAAGTTTTTTTTTTGTCACTTAACATATACTTAATAAAAAAAATGTTAATTTCATTACATTATCCTTTCCATGTAGCTTGATTATCTGTTAAGAGATAGCACATTTCTCTTTTCAAAGTTTCTCTTGGTAATTGTTTCATAATGTATTAAAACAACAATGACAAAAGATAAAACAACAAGATATTTTAAAGAGAAAGTGTCAGTTTTAAATGCATGGATGAGAAAATACACAAATAAAAATAGCCTATTCTTAACATGTCCTGGACAAAACTGTAAGGTTTGCATTTAAGGCTAAAGAATAGTGAAGCTTCATTTAATTTAAATTTAAACTCATTAAATTCATTTAAATTAGTTTAATTCAGTTCAACAAGGTGTTCATACCCTTAATATGTAGGTATTCATAATAAGAAATAGCTACAAAGAGTTAATTATTAGCAAGTTAAATTATTTATAAAATACTCTGATTCATTTCCAAATTATCCTGAGTGGGTTATAACATAAATGGTGTTTAAACTCATATTAAAGTTTCCACCTAAGAAAGTTAAATTGTGTGGCAAGCATACTACTTGCAAGTCAAAACACAAATTTCCATAGAGCTCTTTTAAGAGACCTAGAGAGCCACATGCTCCAGCATAGCTGGACCCTGAGAACTCAACTACATAACCTCCATTCAGATTACCACCGACAAGAACATGGCTTTATTATTCCACCATGTTCTTTAGTTTGACTTTACTATCTATGCCAGGAGACTCTTGACCAAGCAGAYTGCTTTGTAAAATCAAATCCAGACTGATCTACCTTCAATAGAACTCATCAATAGTTGGTACCCTAGGATTCTTTTGTTTTTAAAAGAAAACGTTTTTATTTTATTCTGAAATAGCCATAACTACTTATAATGGTATTAGTGTGCTCACCTTGGGTTTTTTAATTAATTTTTTATTTATATATGACAGCAGAATGCATTATAATTAATATTACCCATGTAGAGCAGAATTTTTTCATATCTCTGGTTGTATACAAAGTATATTCACACCAATTCATGCCTTCATTCATGTAGTTTGGATAATGTCCATCACATTCCACCATCATTTCTAATCTCATGCTCTCTCCCTTCCCCTCCCACCCCTCTGCCCTATCTAGAGTTTGTCTATTCTTCCCATGCTCCCCCTCCCTTCCGCACTATGAATCAGCCTCCTTATATCAGAGAAAACATTAGGCACTTGGTTTTTTGGGATTGGCTAACTTCACTTAGCATTATCTTCTCCAATTCCATCCATTTACCTGCAAATGCCATGATTTTATTCTCTCTTATTGCTGAGTAATATTCCATTGTGTATATATGCCACATTATTTTTATCCATTCATCTACTGAAGGGCATCTAGGTTGGCTTTAAAGTTCAGCTATTGTGAATTGTGCTGCTATAAACATTGATGTGGCTGTGTCCCTGTAGTATGCTGTTTTTAAGTCCTTCTCAGAAGATGACATACAATCAATCAACAAATATATGAACAAAAGTTCATCATCACTAGCATAGAGAAGTGCAAATCAAAACTAAGATTTCAACTTAGGTTTTTATATCAACTTTAAGGTTAGAAACTGAATACTTACAGTTCTGGGTTCAAATGTATACAGAGCTCTGAAGACTTTAACTTGCCCTAAAAGAAAAGAAAACATGTGATCAGTTCTTTCATTTCTAAATTTTCTGTAAGTAGCAGAATCTATTATGTTCTTCAGAAACTAATCTCTAGGGTATATAAAGAACTCAAAAAGCTAAACACTAAAAAAGCAAATAACCCAATCAACAAATGGGCTAAGGACCTGAACAGATACTTCTCAGAAGAGGATATACAATCAATCAATAAGTATATGAAAWAATGCTCATCATCTCTAGCAATCACAGAAATGCAAATCAAAACCACACTAAGATATCATCCCACTCCAGTCAGAATGGCAGCTATTATGGAGACAAACAACAATAAGTGTTGGTGAGGATGTGGGGAAAAAGGTACACTCATACATTGCTGGTGGGACTGCAAACTGGTGCAGCCAATTTGGAAAGCAGTATGGAGATTGCTTGGAAAACTGGGTATGGAACCACTATTTGACCCAGCTACTCCTCTTCTCGGACTATACCCAAAGGACTTAAAAACAGCATACTATGGGCTGGGGATGTGGCTCAAGCAGCAGCACGCTCGCCTGGCATGCATGCGGCCTGGGTTCGATACTCAGCACCACATACAAACAAAGATGTTATGTCCGCTGAAAACTAAAAAATAAATACTAAAATTCTCTCTCTCTCAAAAAAAAAAAAAAAAAAAAAAAAAAAAAAACCCAGCATACTACAGGGACACAGCTACATCAATGTTATAGCAGCACAATTCACAATAGCTAAACTGTGGAGCCAACCTAGATGTTCTTCAGTGGATGAATGGATAAAAAAAAATGTGGCATATATACACAATGGAATTTTACTCAGCATTAAAAAAGAAGAAAACCATGGTATTTGCAGGTAAATGGATAGCTTTGGAGAAGATAATGCTAAGTGAAGTCAGCCAATCCCAAAAAAACAAATACCAAATGTTTTCTCTGATAGGGAGGTTGACTCATAGTGGGGTAGGGAGGAAGAGCATGGGAGGAATAGATGAATTCAAGATAGGGAAGAGGGGTGGGAGGGAAAGGAAGCGGGTAGGGGAGTAACAAGGATGGTGAAATGTGATGGTCATTATTATACAAAGTACATATATGAAAACTTGAACTGGATGTCGACATACTTTATATACAAACAGAAATACAGAAAGCATGGTATTTATGTGTATTAAGAATTGTAACGCAAAATAAATAAGTAAATAAATAATGTTACCTTAGATCAGAGAGAGGGAAGTGAAAGGAGGGGAAGGCAGGGAATGTGGGGATAAGAAAGACAGTAGAATAAAACAGACATTATTACTTTATGTATGTATGTGACTGTATGACCAATGTGATTCTACAATATATATACTCAGAAAAATGAGAAATTATATCCCATCTATGTATGATACATCAAAGTATATTAGTGCATTCTACTGTCACATATAACTAATTAAAACAAATTTTTAAAAAAGAAAAAAAGTAAATGAGAGGAAAGTTATTTCTAATTAAGTAGCTTTTCCACATAGAAAGGATTTTTTAAATATTTGTTAAATGAATACAAGAATAAACGCCCACCTCTGGGGGATGGCTTTGCTTCTTCCTACCAGCTGGAGCTACATGATTGCTGGTGCTTAGTTTCTGGCCTCTACAGAGTCAGTCCTCCCAACCCTAAGATCTAAGTTTAGAAAGAAAAGTGAGTGAACATCTTAATATAAAAAAAACATTTAGTGGGAACATCTACACTGGCTCAATATTTTTTTTTATTTTAATTAGGTATATATGACAGCAGAATGCATTTTGATTCATTATACACAACTGCAGCACAACTTTTCATTTCTCTGCTAGTACACAATATCTGGCTCAATATTCTTAAATCAGCCAGTTAGAATTTTATATTTTTCAAAAGAAAAGACAAGACCATGGAGAAAACAAAAGAACTTGTTGAAGAAACCTGTATTTGCATCAAGTCCCCAAACAGAGAAGGTACAATAACCAAGCAAAGAGGACTACTTGAGTGTTGTCCTCCATCCTGCCAAATAATGCCTCTTTAAATGTCCATCTGCAACATTTCCATAACACTCTGTATCCAAAGCCTTTATTTGCTAGTCCACTTCATCTGAAGACAAGAACCCCAAATCATTTGTTAAAGTTTGAATATGAGGTGTCACCCAAAAGCTCCTGTTAATGCAGGAATATTCAGAGATGAAATGATTGCATTGTGAGAGCTGTAACCTAATCAGCCCATCCTGGTTTAAGTGGACTAACTGGGTGTTAACTGTAGGCAGGTGGGTTGTGCCTGGAGATGGGTCTCTGAGAGTGCGCCCTGGAAATGTAGATCTTTCCGATGGCTCCTTCCCTCTCTTTCTCTCTCTGCTCTCTGCATCCACCATGTGAGCAGTTTTCCTCCACTGAGCCCTTCCGCATGATGTTCTGTCTCACCTATGGCCCAGAGTAATGGAGTCAGATGTCTACAGACGGAGACTTCTAAAACCGTGTGCTCCAAATAAAATTTTTCCTCCTTTAAGTTATTCTTGTTGAGTACTTTGGTCACATTAATACAAAGTTCAACTAAAACATCCTTCAAGGGCTGGGGTTGTGGCTCAATGGTAGAGCACTTGCCTCGCATGTGTGTAGCACTGGGTTCGATTCTCAGCACCACATATAAATAAATAAAATAAAAATCCATTGACAATTAAACATATATATATATTTTTTTAAAGACTTTTTTTAACCCTTTTGACCCTTTTTAAAAAAAAGCATTCAATTTCATAGCATCTACAAGGCACACAGTATAAACAAATTTGCTAGATGAATACATGAGTACAAACTCAAACAGTATAGGATCTACAGACAATAAAACGGGAGTGGGGGGAGGTCATGAAATAAGTAGATTTAGAAAATATATAGAAATAGAAATCTATTCACCTGGAGCACTGGCTGGAAGACCCTTTAAAGATGATATCTAAAACAGGACATCATTCAGAACAGTGGACTCTGAGGTAGGATTCAGGAAGCCTACTTCACAAATTATTCACATTTTTATCTTACTCTTTTTCCTACTTGAACATACTTTATAATATAGAAGCATAATATAATGCATATACAACTTATAAATACATGCATATTTACTAGGAGTAAGTATTCAAGAAACTTTAGTTTAATAGTATTTAAGCATTATGGCCAGGTGTAATGATGGGCACCTATAATCCCAAAGCATTGAGAGGCAGAGGTAGGAGGACTGCAAGTTCAAGGCCAGGCTCAACAACTAAGTGAAGCCTTAAGCAACAAAGCCAGACTCTGTCTCAAAACAAAAAATAAAGATAAAAATAATAAAAAGAAGTGGGGATGTGGTTCAGTGGTTAAGTAACCCTGGGTTCAATTCCCAGTACCAAAAAAAAAAAAAAAAAAAGAGAATCTAATCATTATGAAGCCAGGAATTTATGTCACTTTATGAATGAGATATGCAAGTACCTAGCACAGAGTCTGGAGCATAGGAGGGATTTAGTAATTATTTGCTAAATAAATGAAGAATAGATGAATAATAAAACAAATGGAAATATGCACTCACAAAAGTCTGAAAAAAGTAGTTTAGAACAACACTCTCCAGTATAACTTAATATAATGACAGAAAAGTTCAACATCTTTGCAAGTTACCCATACAGAGCACATGTTATGTGGTTCATGTGATCAAGGAACTAACGTTTACTATTATTTAATTTTAATTAAGTTAAATTGCCACACATGGCTAGTGGCTAGTATATGAAAGAATGCAGGTTTAGAACATAACTTAAATGTCTATTAAGAGGGAACTATGAGCTGGGGTTGTAGCTCAGTGTAGAGTGCTTGCCTAGCACGTGTGAGGCACTGGGTTCCAGCACCAAGTATAAACAAATAAATAAACAAAATAAAATAAAATAAAATAAAGCTCCACCAACAACCAAAACATATTTTTTTAAAAAGAGGGAACTATGTAAATCAACTGTGGTTCATCCATACAATAAAGTCACTAAAAAAGAATGCTGCGTATTATTCATAAAAGCCAAGACATGGCATCAACTTAAGTGTCTATCAATGGCTGAATGGATAAAGAAACTGTGGTATATATGCACAACAGAATGCTATCCAGCCTTCATAAAGAAGGAGATCCTGCTCACCTATGGCCAAGAATCAAAAGAGGAAGGAGGGAACCAGGTCCCACAGTCCCCTTCAGGGCATGCCCCAATGACCTAAGGACCTCACACAATGCCCTACCTCCAGAGGTTCCACCATCTCCCAACAGCACCACCCTGGGGACTAAGTCTTTAACACACAGGCCTTTGTGGAACATACCAGAACCAAACTGTAGCATATGTGGAATACAAAAAAAAAAAAATTGAATTTACAGAAACAGAAAGTAAAATGGTAGTTAGCAGAGGTGGGGGGTTGAGGGAAATTGGGAGATGGTCAAAGGACACAAAACTTCAGTTAGACAGGAAGAATAAGCCAAGAGATCTACTGTACATCATAGTGACTGCAATTAACTGCAGACTATATACTTGAAAATTACTAAAAGGAAAGTAAAGACAAATCCGGTCTAATTGTGGAAAACAATGAAGAACCTGCTGTGTTTGTGAAAGGGAACCTAGTGCTGAGCTAGCAAAGCTGTGTCTGTATTTCTTCATGATCTGTAATCTAAGAGGTGCTCAATAAATGTTTGCTGAATGAATGAATGAATGAATGATGCATACTCAACTCTAAAGAAGAATTTTCTTCTGTGGAGGAATTAAACCAGGCCAAAAAAATGAAAATTAAAATTCTTTGGTGGCTATTGTCATACACTCTCTCTTAATAAGGAGAGAAAGAAGAAAAGTTCTCATTATAGACATTTGTCTTATGCTATGTTCATGTTCAAACATACCACAATGAATCCCCTTCATTATATAATAATAATGCTCTGGTTGAAATAATAATAATAATAATAATAATAATAATAATAATAGAAGGGAGATTAGCAGAGTAGAGCAAATGGATCAGGGGGAGAGAGGAC